GGGGCAGCCCAAGGATGGGCACTGTCCCTTCCTCCTGCCTCTGCAATGGCACTGGGGGAAACTGAGGCACGGTGTGACAGCACTTGGTCCAGAGCCGTCCGACTCACTGCTGCCGGCTCCAGCACTGTCTGCACACCCACAGCTCTCCCCACCACAGTGACAGGAGGCTTTGTGATGAGCTGAGACCTTGGCAAAGCCACAGGGAGCTGAGGGACACTCCATGGAGCCTGTGGTGACCAACAGACCTGGCACCCTGCTCCTGGAAGGTGGTGGCTGGGCTGGTGACCCTGGGCTCCCCCTCCCCTTGCTGCTGCACCATCCCAGCCTGCTGAAGAAAGAGAAATGCTCCAGCTTGTGGGAAGCCAGGGGAGAGGAAGAACTCCCATCCCTGGAGGTGTTTAAAAGCTGGGGAGATGTGGTGCTCAGAGATCTGGTTTAGTAGTGGACAGGTATGGTGGGACTTGATGATCTCAGGAGATTCTATGATTCAGAAGGAAGAGTCCTTTCTGCTTAGAGCTGGCTCACAAAATTGAAAAGAAAAAATATATATTTGGGGAGATATCTGCTGTGACACTCCCAGAACAGTCTGGGGACACCTCTGCACCCCTGGGCACATCCCAGTCCCAGTTGGCATCATTCTCACCCCGGTGAGCACCAGCCATGTGTGTGTGTCCCCTCCCCACACCCCCGGCTGGCAGCAGCACCCAGCAGCACCCAGCACACAGACCAGAGGCAGCTCAGGGTGTGCGATGTCTTTATTGATAAGGTTATTGATTTATGGTTGGACTCCATGATCTGAAAGGTCTTTCCAGCTGCTCTGATCCTATGACTCCATATCAGGCAGGGGTGAGATCCGGGAGGGAGCAGAGCTTGGGGGGGCTGGGACATGGGACATGGAGAGGGGCTTGGGACACCAGGTGGGTTTTATCCCAGCTCCACACATGAGTCAGAGTTTCCCAAAGGCAGTGCTCATCCCCAAAACCAGGGAATTTTGGAGAATGTGGTCCTCTGGGATGTGTTCTCCTTGGAGGAACAGTGCCCCAGGTCCTGGGGTGGGAACACGGTCCTCTGGGACATGTTCTCCTTGGGGGAATAGTGCCCAAGGACCTGGAGTGGGCTGGTGGGGAGGAGGAGAGCCATGCTCCAACACGCTCCCTGAAGAGCATCCCTCCCCATGTCCACCTTGGTGATGCCCCTGCTCTTGTCTTCTGCAAGGGACAGAGTTACACAGCGAGAAGGTGACATTGGGGGAAATACCATGGACATTTACTCATCTGGTTACTCAAGGAAACCCTCAGCCACTGTCTCGGGGACCTTATGCAGAGCGGTGGAAAAGCTTCAATAGGCTGGGGACAGCATGTCCATCGTTGTATCATTGCTGCATGCTGTGCTGTCTTCTGGCTCTTCGAAGACCCTCTGGAAGACAACCTTGAAGGACACCAAGGAGCAGTGCCTCCGACAGCTCCCCACCAAGAAGTAGATGAAGGGGTTGATGCTGCTGTTGATACAGGCGAGCAGGAAAACAACCTGGGAGGACACGATAGCGTAGCTGAACTGCTGCAGGAAATTCCAGATGCTGAGGGGAAGAGCAAGGAGGAGGAAGAGGGGGACAATGAGGAAGATAGTGATGTGGAGCCTCCTGGGTTGGTGCTGCTGGGAACCACAGTGGACCTTAATGAAGAGGGTTGTGGTGGAAATGACCATGAGTGGGGCAAAGATGAGGAAGTTGAGGATGTACATGGAGATGAGAGCCACCCGGCAGTGCTCGTGCTCATGGAACAGGCATAGAGAAGTCACTGCAGCAATGACAGCGATGGAGAGGGCCCAGAGCAGGACACACACCACGGATGACAAGTGCTGGGGACGGCGGATGCTGGAGCAGAGGATGGACACACACCTCTCGATGCTGATGGCCGTCAGGAGATACAAGCCCATGTTGTAGGAGAAGAGTGAGAGGAGGAAAAGAGACCTCAGGTACCTCATGGACACTACAGTGGAGCAGATGTTGTCCATCATGTAGAGGAGGGCTGAGGTGACCATGAAGAGGAGGAAGGTGAAGTTGGCGATGGCCAGGTTGAGGATGTAGACGGTGATGGGGTTCCTGCGGATGCGGAAGCCGAGGAGCCAGAGGACGGTCCCGTTCCCCACCAGCCCGCAGAGGCAGATGAGCAGCGTGACACCATCTATGGCCATGTCAGTGACCTCTATCCTGCACAAGTCATCTCCATCCGCTGTTGGCATGGGTGGTGAGGGAGTTGGGGACATGTGAGTCACCTCCATGGATGGACGCAGGGCAGGTGGTGAGATGTGGTCCCTGGCTGTGGTCAGAGTGGATGAGGAGTTAGTGGCTTAGAAAGGTGGGGCTGAGCCACATGGACCCTCACCAGCTCCCTGAACTGGGAAAACATCAGTGGAGGGCAAGTGGGACATGCTGGGAAGGGGAGTGGTGGACATTGTGGGGTGGCAGAGGGAGATGGGAGAGGAGGGAAGCTCATCAGGAGATGCAGACAGCAAGCGCAGGGCAGCAGGGAGAGGACCTGGGGAGATCACTGCTGGTCACCGGGAGAGGGTGGGAGGAACGTGGATGCTGGAGGAACGGCAGTGGGGTGGGGATGAAGGAGAACGTTGCACTGACCTGTTAGCTTTGGTGGAGCAGCAGGCAAGGGCTGTCGTTCCAGCTGGGCTCGGGCGGGTCAGCACTGGTGTCTCACCATCTCACGCTCCCTTCGGATCCATATCCTGGAGCGGATCTTCCAGGAGCAGTTGCATGAAGAAGAAAATCCCTTGGTCACCAGAAGGTCCCTGCTCTCATCCCACCAGCTCCTCTCTGTGCCCCGTCCCTGGTGCACCCCTCGGCAGTTCCCACCGCTCCCCCAGCAGCAGTGGGGTCACGGGGGAGTCGGGAATGGTTTTGTAACTGGGGCTACGTCACGGCTCCGCTTCCGTGGCTTTATTTATCTCGTCCTTTTCCCCACAAAGGAAGTGGCTTCTGCCAGGAGCTCGGCAAGAAGAATTTTGTGAATGGCTCCTCCTTTCCTCTTGATGAGAAACACTCATCCCTGGATAATGACCCTCTGGCTGCCTTCCCTCTTCTGGCAGCTCGCTGCTCTTCTGTCCTCCTCTGCTTGTTGTGGGGCTCCTGGATCTCAGCATCCCCCAGGGTGGCATCGTTCCTCCAGCTGCAGAGCACGATGCTGGTGCTGCTGGTGGTACTGGTGATGATGATGAAGCTGGGGGTGCTGGTGATGATGGTGAAGCTGGGGGTGCTGGTGATGATGGTGGTGATGATGAAGGCTGGTGATGTTGGTGGTGCTGATGAAGCTGGTGATGATGATGAAGCTGGTGATGCTGGTGATGATGGTGAAGCTGGGGGTGTTGGTGATGATGGTGGTGATGATGAAGGCTGGTGATGTTGGTGGTGCTGATGAAGCTGGTGATGATGATGAAGCTGGTGATGCTGGTGATGATGGTGAAGCTGGGGGTGTTGGTGATGATGGTGGTGATGATGAAGGCTGGTGATGTTGGTGGTGCTGATGAAGCTGGTGATGATGATGAAGCTGGTGATGCTGGTGATGATGGTGAAGCTGGGGATGCTGGTGATGACGGTGGTGATGATGAAGCTGGTGGTGATAATGAAGCTGGTGGTGCTGGTGGTGCCAGCAGGGTTGGTGTTGCTGGCAGTACTGGTGATGCTGGCGGTGCTGGCAGTGCTGGTGTTGCTGGCAGTACTGGTGATGCCGGCGGTGCTGGCGGGGTGGTTGGGTGCTTCTCAGAAGTGACTCCTCTTCTGGGAAGAGCACGGGGATCCCCGCCAAATCCTGCCCCGTGCCCGCGGGAACACACCTGCACAGCGGAGCCAGGAGTGAGTGTTTCTCATCAATCTAACGGGACTTTGACAGCCCAGTGGGTGTAAACCCTCCAGTGGCTCCTGGCTCCTGCTCAGGGCTGAGCAGAGCATCTCCTTGGGGGAACTTGCCCTCCCCGCCTGGTCTGGTCACACCATCC